CTCGTCAAGAGGTTCACTTCTACGCCAGCGGTGTCTTTGTTTTCAAGATCTACCAAATCTGGTGTTTCTTTAGGGCTGGTGCCCTTACTTCAGTTCGAAGTGCGAATAGTCTTTCAACGGATTTCTTTAAACAACATAATGATTACGTAAGTGTTTCTGTATCTCAATTATGCAGTCTACGCACACTCCTCTCTCCTACTCACTATCGTTAATAAATTCGATTTTTATTTGTGTCTCTCTTTTGAAGGTTCGACTGTCAATCCTTTGCTTTCACTTCAGAAATCAGGATTCATTCCACACTCGCTACGGGGGTCATGCCTACTAGCCAGTCCAACATCCAGCAGTCGTTTGTAGGAATGTTTATCACAGGTTTGCACGATTTCCTACACGTCGTGCTTTGGAAACGGGGAGCTTACAGTGCGCCTAAAGTAAAATGCAGTGCTGCCCCATATGGCCGCCAGCTTATATCAACTTTATTCCAGGAAATTTAAACCTTGCGTGACCGCCAGCACCGACTCGAAGAGAAACCACACATCCTTACGGAAGCTAATGCACCCAGATTGACAATCAGTGATCGCGATTGCCCCTATAACTTTGTTCACCCACGACTAACGAGGTTAAAGTTAGTAGGTTAAGTGTTGGAGTATTCTAATTTACGTCGCTGCAAAGCCATTAATCGTTAATTACTTGTCAGTCTTGCTCAAAAGCAGCAAACTTTGAATATGTTCTCTCGTGAAATTGGGTATATAGTTTACTACTTCATGAATACGCCTGATGAAAGATAGTACTTATACACTACACGAACCGATGTACGCCATCAATGAGTAAATATCAAATCACAAAATCTATATTTTGAAGTATCACTATTTTTGCACTCTACCGACAACTAGCCCGTACTGTTTCATCTTGCGGTTTATTATTGTTCTGCCTCCGCTGTGTGCAGGGAAGACATAAATCTTTAACTTACCACTAGTGATTTCTCTGATTTCTACTTCAAATGGATCTTTGAACCAAGTTAATTCTTCTATGCCGATTCTTTTATTTCACAGAAAATATCCGCAACTTAGCATTAGAGAAGTTGGCGGCCAGTGTACTCTTCCCCTGCAAGTACTCCGTCACAGGCTGTACTGGAACCTTTCACCACTCAGCGAAGGCTGAGCACGAGGCCGTTTGTGAATACAGGTAGGCTGGCCTACTTTAATCTACCTGATTACATTTATGCACAAGCCGTACGCCCTGCAGGTCTAAACGTCAGCAGTTAATTTTCCCGTTTCGTTTTCTGCTGTTCCTCTAGATAGCAAAAGCCTTCACCACCTTCACTGGGTTTTGCCACCTTTACCTGTGTGTGTTTGTGCAACCTTCAGTCTAGTAAAAATAGCCTCTTATAATTGACCCATTTCATTCTC